GGGAAGGGAAAAATCCACAGGGAAAAAAAGAAGTCGCGTAATATAGAGTATAATTTTTTAACAGAATATAATAATAACATAATAATAGAATATAATTTTTGGATAATTAAACAGAAACTCAGTGCATAAATATTAATTAATCGAATTTGAAACTTTCTGGATTACCCTCCTACAAGTAATTCTGCCGGCGCCCATGATCAAATTCGAAAGTTGCTTCTTATTGCTGTTTTATGAAGTATATTTATAGATGGTGGAGTGAATTTTTCGTTTTCCAATAGAATACGAAAATGACTCATTGTAGTCGGCAGTTCTCCGAAGAGTTATACATCTGTCGAGGCATCTTAAAAGCGGCCTTTGGGAATAGATGGGTTTCGATCTCTCTATTTACTTAACAGCTGAGCTATACAAGTAGACGATGAAATATAAAAAGTTCTCCCTTGTGCCTTCCATCGATCATCTGTCTAAGCTAGATCCGCGCGATAAACGAGACGTCTCGGAGCCGAACATGTAGTTGAGGTAGCAATATAAATAAATAATGGTTTTATACATCTCTCAAACAAAATGGTACAATAATGTCTAATAATCACGTTTTCTTAATTGAGGGATATTTAGATACTTCCTCGTGTTACTGGCCGTATCTCGTATTGTTCTGTCTTGAGAGAGCTCTACACACAATTGTACATTGTTTCAGAGAGAGAGAGAGAATTGGCGGGAGAATTATAGAAGCTTGAGATCTACGGAGAAGGAAAGATAAGCATATTGGCTATAATGAAAGGGTCGATATATCGCGCGCAAGCGAAGGCAAATTCTATTGGTTGGCCCGACGGAAAACCGTCGATGTACATGCACGACACACGGCTTCGTCGCGTCTTGTTTCGTCGATGTTCACGATGACGACGTCACGGTTCTATTCTTGGTAACGTGGACGCAGCGATATCTTTAGAGCGACCATCGCTACAGTCCGTTTCCGAGCTTTCCTTCTTTCGCGGCCGCGAAAACGTGCCAGTTGACGAGAGAAGGCGCGAGGCGGAGATGATTTATATCAACTAAATCGGACCACATCGCTGGCCTCCCCTCGCCTCCTTCACCCCTGCGTTTCTCGAGAGTACAGCGTTCTTAATTTCATTCCGTCACGCTGTTTACTGGTTTAGGTATCCGAAACGCGAATAAACACTTTTCGAATTATATTGGGATAGAGATTTTATGATATAGCGTGGCCAGAGATATTATAGTAGAAACAACTCGATTAAAATTTAAAATTTGAGAATCATCGACTCGAGAAATTTGTAATCTTGCGATCTTGCAATTTTGCAATCTTGAAATCTCGGGTAAGATCGATTAGCACCGACGGAGATATCGCCCGCAGCTTTTCATTGAACAAGCTGATTGAAAGTTTAGCAAAAAAAACTTATAAAAATTGTGGCAAATCTGTAAGGACATGCAGATTTGATATTTCAAAATTTACAGGACTCTCAAAAACAACTTGAGTTACGGTAGCAAAGATCGATGATCAATTTGAACTTTTTTATAAAAATTCGCTACAAGATGTTTTATTCAACAGAAAAAAAATTTCGACTGCTTGTCCTATTTAGTTTTATTTTTTTGTTTCGCTTTTGTTGTTTGTGAATAAATTGGGACAAAACCAGATTCGAGATAAAATGCAAAACTGTAAAATAGAAAGTTAATATTTTCTCCTATGAGAAAAATATGTAAATGACGATCAAATGATGCTCGCATTTTTAAAATCAATTTTTGAATTCAATCATTCGTATACTTCATTATTTGCTTTATCATCGTTGTATTTGACTATTTGATGTAAACTTATCAAGTATAGAACTTTTTGTATTAAATAATTATTAATAAATAGTAAACAGAGCTTAAACTTTGGGTAAAAAAGATTTAAATAAGTTTATTAAGTTTAAAAATAATAGAATTGAAATTCACGTTTATCTAGTTTATACACTGCTCAAAAAAATTATGGCATAGAAAAATTTTGAGCAAAAATTGGTCAACTTTGATTAACGGTAACTCCGCGAAAAATCATCGTAAAATGATGAACTATTTTTCAAACGAAAGCTTGAAATCTCTACTTTAAGATACTGTGAGTCGATTTTTAATTTAATGCACCTCTGTTGCTGTAAACTCTTAAATCTGAGAGA